ATGGTCTCACATTTTTCTCTTGCTTTCCACATGCTCTGTCAAATTGTAAAACACATCCATGGACTGAAGTTATGAAGCAAAGAGAAAACAGGAAGGGAAAAACAGGCCACTGCTGCGGAAGACCCTTTGGTATACAGGACTGTTTCTGGTTATCTTAAAGCACCCCTTCCCAGTCGGGTGCTCTGTGTGGGACTGACTACTACTGGTAACATCCCCAGCCAGTGGTGCACCAGGCTGGAAAAGGCAGAGAGCAGAACTGGAGGGAAAAGGGCCACACTTTAAAAACTAAAAATGTGGGTTGCATCTTCTTTCAATCAATTTACTTTCTCAAGTCACAAGTGAAATGGATTTGATCTGTAACTAGAGATAGAATTGATTTGGGTCACCAACCATGCTGAATTTTCTCGAAAACTACTCTAGTACAGCTTTGCTTGTAATTTCTAGCACTTATTTTATGAGAAGGGCAAGGGCCAGGCTGGAGCTTTGCTGATGGATTCCAAAAGGAGTGCCAAGTTTTGCAAACTATCTACCACCCTACAAGCTCAGAACTTACTTCATTAGGAGTTAAGCCCTATTCAAAGCAGAATGTCTTAAACTTGGTGGTCTACTTCCATGAGCAGTCTGCAAGTGTCATACTTAGGGGAGAAAATTAGTTACTAATGGGTGATACTAGTGAGAGAAAAATGGAGAATCACACTTCTTTGAACTGCTTCTTGAAATCTCTTTGCATTGACAGGATTTAGGTCTGTTCCTTGAGCATGAATCTGGTGAAAGGAAGCAAGAAATTGAGAGACAAAACCACAGGACACATCCCCAGAAATCTAAGTGTAACAGGCTCTAATTGTGATGGTAACAGGGAACCACCAGATGCAGAAAACTCAGTCCAAACTTGGGTTTTGCAAGGCACCGTCCATCCCACAGATACTCAGCAGTAATAGCCCCAACAACTTTAATGGATTTATTCCAAGTGAAGTGTACACAAGACTAGAACCATAATTTTAATATTGATCAGCTTAAGAGGAGTCCAATTTGTCTGATTCATAAATTGATACCCTTAGTGGACAGGAACCTGACAGATACAAAGAGACAAAAAATGGAGTAATTGGTATTAAAATACACCCTACAGCGCAAATTAAAGGGGAAATTGACTACTGGGAGCACAGAACTCCTTGTTGCAAGAGTAAATGCAGAGAGAGATGAACTATTTTTCTAAGTGATTATAGCATGCCCTCCTAAACATGTTTTACCAGACTTCACAGAAAGTTCAGTGGGCCCCACTTCAGAGTATATGTTTTCCATCAGTGCTATACATGTTTATTTAAAAAGTTAGCCCACTGAACTCACTGAAACTTACTCCCTGGTATGTATGTATGTATGTATGTATGTATGCAGGACAAGTACATTTCCTTAGGAGGAAACCATTTGAACTCACTGGGATGCACGTATGGACAGACGTGGCTGTGAGGCATCTTGGATTGTAATCCCATGCTCCAGACATGCTTGGAAATAAGCAAGGCTCTGTTTGAGGTTCAAATGACAGTAACTTTAAAGTCGCATTTTATCAAAATAAAATAAGATGGCTTTAGGTCTGATTAAGCAAACAGTTGAGAAAGACAGACAGACAGACAGACACCTGAAACAGATCACCTGAGATACCTGGAACAAAACAAACAAATGAAATGAAATAGGATGACTTCAAATGCCATTAAAGCAGTTCAATTATTTAGCGTTCTCCAGTGTCCTGTACTCAATCCATTTTTAATAGAGTGTAATTAAGGTTTCCCCAACCGGATTCACACATGTGTAAATATTTCAGAGGAAGACAGATTTTTCCACCCTTGAGCAAGTCGCTCTCTCAAATGACACCTCTGGTTAAAAGTAGGGCTTTAGGGGACTGGAGAGTCAGAGGTGCTTTCCTCGTGCAAGGGAGAAAGCAACAAGTGTGAGAAAAAAGAGAAAGTGTGTTTGTTCGGGAGGATGAGACCAGCTCACCAGAAAAGATTGGGGTGTAGTCTGCCCGATTCAGACAGTTCTGGGGCTCCCCACTTCCTTTCCCCTTCCTAGACCTGGTGACTTTTCAGGAGGGGATCCGAAGCGCGCTTCCTTTTGGTGGAACCGAAGTAAAAGCGGGCAGAGGCCAGATTTTAGCCCCTGGCCGGTTTAATCCGAACTCAGTCCCAGCCAGGACCCAAGATTTACTCCCGAATTATCACACTTTAAATCTCAGTCTGCTTCTCAAAAGCTGCCCTCAGGTGCCATCCAAGACTCCTACGGGAGTTACTTCCGAGTCAACTGTGAAAGGATCGGGCCGACAGCTTTCTCCCCCCTCCTCCGCCGCACCGATTTCCCAGGGCTTTCTATTCCCTAAGCAGAGCGACTCCGAATTCGGAAGCTCCGAGGACGACTGGAAGTAAATACGATCAGGAAAGCACGCCAGAGCATGCCACTCTGCCAGAAATAAACGTCAAAGAAACGAGAGCGAGAAAGTTTGAGCAAAGAGTTGGAAGGAAGCTGCGAGGTCCGCGTAAAAACGCCCGCCCGAGCGAGCCCGCTCCTGCGCTCTTCCCACGACCTCTCCCTTCTCCGCGAGCTCCCGTGCGCTCCGCGAGGGCGCCTTCCTCCTTATGGCATCGGAACCGGCACGGCGGGAGCGGTCTGGCTGCTTCGGGACCTGGCGCGCCCCGGCAACGCGGCGCGCCGCATCCCCGGGCGCTCTGACGGGTCTTGCAGGTCGGTCCGCGCTCGGGAAGGCAGCGCCGGCTCCGTCCCGACTCAGCCTTTACGCAGCTCACCAGTCGGCCCCTGGAAGTTCACACGAGCTATTCACAAACACTCCCGTTCGTAGGGCCTGCCCCGCGGGGAGGCGGTCGCTACGTTACCGAACCGCTCTCCGGATCGCAGCCTTCCAGGAGCTGGCGACCGCCACGGCGCTTGCTGCGCTTTCGGAGTCCTCCGGCGCAGCCAGCCTCTCTCTTCCTCCCTCGCCCCTCCCCACAAATAATCACTAGTGGATAGAAGGGGGGGAAAGTCGACTGAAGCAACCGGCAATCTCCCAGCCCCTTCCTTGGGACGGATCCCTCCGGTGGAACCGAGTGTGCAAGAGTGGTAGTGGTGGTGCCTGGTACCGGAAAGGTCCGGCCCGGGACGCAGGCCCGCGGGGCAAAAACCCCAAAAACAAAGCTCAAAATGAGACGCCCGATTTGCAGAACTGGCTGGCAAATGCTCCGAAGTCTACGTATTCGCAGCACCCTTTCTTCAAAGGACACCCCCATTTGTGAAAAGGGATGGATCCGCAGGGAGGGGACTTCATGTCGAGGGAAACATAAGCGGAAAGCTTTTGGCGGAGGGGCGCAAGAGAACCAAATACCCGCTCGCCTGCTCTGGGCTCTGTACTTAATTGAGCAGATGCCCCTGGGCAGACCAGCGGTGGACGCACGGCTTCCCAGAGATTCACTGGGGCGCCAGTTAAAAGAATGGGACAATCGGGGCGAATTTCCAAGCAAGGGCGCAGCCCGAGCCCCGCCGCAAACCTCGCAGCAGGGAAAAACGTTAAGGTTTCAGCCACGAGCGCATCAAGATTACATGTAGTTCGGAGTGAACAGGCATGATTACAGGGAAGGATCGGGACGCCTATCCAGATACAGCAGACCTGCCCTCGCGGCCGGAACCCAGGAGTCATTTACTCCGGAGTAAATCCACTGCGGTGGAGGAACACCGCCCGATTTGTTAATTTTTCAAGGGACGCCAGGCGACGCACAAACACACACACACCCGGAACGGCTGTTATAAAATTTATTCTCTTTTTAAAGTTCTTTCTTGCAGGGGGTGGGAGAAGGGAAACGCAGGGAAGTAAGTTCTCGTCAAAAAAACAAACAAAAAAACAAACAAAAAGCCAACCAAAAACAAAATCCCGGACAATAGCAATAGCAACCTAAAACGACCAAATTCGTGGGGCCGAAATGTTCTCCAAACTATCCCACGAGCAAGTCCACGAATAGGGGAAGGGGGAACGGAAGAGGGGAATTTACAGACATTTACAAGCGCCAGGAAATAGACCAGAAAAAGACTCAGGCTGTTTCTCTCTCCCCTAAGCCCCGTCACCAACAGCAAAAAAAGTTGCTTTTCAAAAGTCCTGGAAATTCGGATTCGCTTCCATTTCGTATGCCCAGGGTTCCACTCCCTATCCGAAGTAAGCTTACTCCAAACTGAGGGCCCCTCGACTCCGAAAGGGAAACAAACTTTGGCTACAGGTATCCCACGCGCACTTACTCTCCGGGAGGCTTAATTTCTGACTATGGGATCGGAACGTTTTTTTCAAGATTACCTTGAAGGTTCAAGTGTACCAAGCGATGAAAAAGGTATCTTTTAATGGAACAAGCTCTATTTATTTTAAAAATCTCTTTTACATTTTTCTTCATCTTAAAAATGGACAGCCAGACAAGATTAGCAAGGGATGAGGAAAGGAAAACAGAATTCTGAACCCCAACAATTAAAAACACAAATGCGAACGACGGAGGCCGGGCCGGGCGCTCACGGCGCATCTCATCCTCTGGACTCCTCTCGAAGGGGAGAGAAAAACCGCCCCGGCAAAGGTACAAGGCCAAGCACTCCCCGTCCGAAGTTCTCCCCAGACCGGTGGCAAATATCTGGAGGCGGCGTGTGCGTGGGGGAAGAATTTCACAGCAGCTCTTGCCCAGGTTCGCGGTAAAGGGCGCTCTATCCAGACAAGGAATTCACTTTTTGCCCCTTGAAAGGGAACAGAGTCCGCCTGACGGGAGCGAGTCGGCCGGTTCGCGTGCCTCCGCTTCGCCCCCTCCTGCGCCCTCGCCCGACCCCTCCCACCCGCCGCCTCGATTTCGATTGCCTGGCGCCGAAGGGGAAGGGGGACCTGGCGGAGTCCACCGGGGCCGCGCCCGGGAGCAGTCCTGGCGCCGGTGGCCGGGCCGGGCAACGGGCCCGCGGCAGACGGGGCGCACGGCGGAGCGCGCGGACGGCCCCGGCTAGATGTGCGTGAGCGGTACCGTCCCGTTCACGGCCGCGCCGCCGCCCTGGTAGTGCTGGTGGACGCCGTGGAGCCGGGTGCCCGGCAGCGAGGACGGGTCCGCCGCGTCGCCGCCGGGGGGCAGGTACACACTGATCATGTCGCGCAGGTCGCCCAGGCAGGCGCGCTGAGAGTGCGAGGCGATGGCCGGCGGCGGCGAGCTGGGCTCGGACTTCACCACGGAGCCCATGGTCCCCAGGCCCATGGCGTGGCCCGGCGGCTGCGGGCCGTAGGCGGCGGCGGCGGCGGCGGCCATGCTGTAGGTGGAGGCGGCGCCGCTCAGGTAGGGCTGCGCGCTGGTCATGATGGGGCTGTACTGCAGGCCGCCCACGTCGTAGCGGTGCACGGGCGGCAGCTGCGCGCCGCCCATGGCCGGGTGCTGGCCGTAGCCCAGCTGCTCGGGCATCAGCGAGGCGTACGCGCCGTTGGGCCAGCCGTTCACGTGCGCGTACGAGTCCAGGCGCTGGCCCACGCCGACGGGGCTGCTGCCCGCGCCCGCGCCCGCGCCGCCCGGCGCCAGCAGGCCGCCCGGCAGCGCGTACTTGTCCTTCTTGAGCAGCGTCTTGGTCTTGCGGCGCGGCCGGTACTTGTAATCCGGGTACTCCTTCATGTGGACGGCGCGCAGCCGCTTCGCCTCGTCGATGAAGGGGCGCTTCTCGCCGTCGCTCAGCAGCTTCCAGTCCGCGCCCAGCCGCTTGGAGATCTCCGAGTTGTGCATCTTGGGGTTCTCCTGGGCCATCTTGCGCCGCTGGCCGCGCGACCACACCATGAAGGCGTTCATGGGCCTCTTCACGCGGTCCTGGTCGGCGGCGCCGGCCCCGCCGCCGCCGCCCCCTCCGCCGCCGCCCCCTTTGCCATTGCCGCCCGGGGCGCTGCTGCCAGCCGGGCCTCCTCCTCCGGAGCTGGGCTGGGGAGCCTTCAGCTCGCCCTCCAGCATGCCGTACATGGTCGGGGAGGGCAGGAGGTGCGCCAGCTTGGCGCGCGGAGGGGCCGCGGGGGACCGGCCTGGCAGAGCGGGGGCGCGGCTCAGGGAAGTGCGTGGCCCGCGCGGCGACGCTTCTCTCGCCCGGCGGAGCAGCAGGAGAACGAGCCGCAGACTCTTGCGGGCTCTTCCGACGGCCTCAGCTCAGCCGCTGCCTCCCCGCGCCCCGAACTCTCCGGCCCTATCCACGCTTCAGCCTTTCTCTCCGGGCCGGTTGATTGACGGCCTATAAATGAGGCGCCGGCGGCCAATCAGAGCGCAGGCCCCTTGACGCAGGATACTGGCCCAGGATCGCATCCTCCCTCTCCCCACCCGTCCAAAGCTGAAACTTTTATGGGGGGGAGTCCTCTTTCCTCCCTGAGGGACCCCTCCTCTCCTTTAGCCCCTCGCCAAACGATGAGCGTGAACTGATTAGTTGCATTATTATTTTTAATATCGCATCCACCCAATACGTGCTGCTTCCTCCTTCCTCATCCAGAGTAAGATTTTGAGTGGTCAGCAAGTCTCCAACATGCATCATGTGATAAAAATCATCTTTTTTACTGAGGGATGCTTAAAACAACAACACCTCTGTCATCAGCGCCTTTTCCGTGCCCTGCCTCCCCTGCCGCCTCAGAACGAGATGCGACCATCCCACACGGGTCTAAAAAGAGGGTTCCTGACCCCGCTCTCTTCTTTTCCGTCCAACACTGTGCTCCCGAACGTGTGTACTCTATAGGAAGCCCAGTTCAACCTGGTCCCGGGCGAACCGGGGCAGGACTGCAGTCCTAGCCAAGCTTACTGGGGAAACTTCGGCCCGCGGTGCTGTCCACGTAAAAGCCTTCTGCCTGTACATCCCTAAAACACACGATTCCGAGGAACCGTGTCTCTTGCCGTGCAAGTCAGATCCCCGCGTAAGCTTTCACCCGGGGGGGGGGGGGGGATTTTTCACTTTCATGTTGCGGGGTGGGCGGTGGAAGGAAAAAGAAAAGCGCTTTTCCGTTCGACGCTTCCCCAGAGAATTCCACCTGATTGAAGTGCAGCTGCGGAGGAGCCCTGCCAGAAAAAAAAAATCTGGCAACCGCTTCGAAAAGTTGGCCGAGTCGCTGTGCCTGTTTGACGGGGCTTAGAGAAGCGATTTTGCGGGTGGGGAGAAGCCTTTGCGGAAGGGAGACGGGCTCGCCTGGAGGAGCGTTGCCCGAGATTGGGAACCACTCCCGCTCCATCTCTCGCTCTCCGCATGGCTGTAACCCGAGCACAGAACAGGGCTTGGATTCTTCCCGCTACTCAAACCCCGTGAAAATAAGCGACCTCTTTTCCTTGACAAACAAGCATCAATGAACCAGTGCGCGCTCGCTCTCTCCAAATACTGGAAAGCAGCCGAGGCCTTTGGGGGCTGGGGGCAAAATAAGCGAGAGTTTACGGCTGCCCACACATCTTGCCCACTGCGGCCTCTTTCTGAATGCTCCTTCCCTTTTCAATTTTTCCACTTGGCTGCTGCCCGGGAGGTGGGGACGAGGGGGGGGGGGCGGTGTGGACGGCCACCATTTTTGGAAAATCCGTTCGCATGGCAACCACCCAGCAGCCGCTGGCGGGGAGGGAGAGAGAGAAAGGAAACTTTTGTGGGGGCGGCTGGAAGCACCGGCTCGCTGGGACTGTCAATCAAGGGGCCTCCCCTCTTCTCCCCCCACCCCCCACGCACACACCTGCGAGGCCCACCGAATCGCAAGCTGCGAGCCCAACTCTTAAAGGCGCAGCGTCTCTCCAGCACGCGCGCATGGGGCGCCCCCGTGCGCGTGTCCGGGCGTGCGCGCTGCGCGAAGCACTGCGGTTGTGCTCCTCGCAAGCAGGAAGCCGGGAGACGCGGGAGCACGCGAGCAGACACCCGGGACAACTTCTGGAGGGTAGGCAAATGTGAGGATCCGCTTACTCCCGAGTCGCTCCCAGGAGGGACTCGTCCCGCAGACCGCACTGGGGCAAAACTTCCTCTTCTCGCTGCCCGGGTATCTGCAAAGAAGGGTACGGAGAGCCGCTGTCCAGGCCGGCAAATCGTCATCTGTAATGACTTTTTCACCTGGATAAGTACGTGTGCATGCCGCTTCGTGGATCTGCCTGAACGCGAGCGGAGAAGGACGAGCGAGAGCTTAATGGCATACTTGCAAAGGGCTGGCAAAGCGAAAGAACGTCTGAATGGGACAGTTGTGGGGTGGTGTGGGGACTGAATGGTGTGGGGACTGGTGTCCAGCTGTCTCCAGCGAGTGGACAGAAGCAGCTGAACTCTCCAAGGAGGGGCTCAAAACTGTGGGCAGCGCAAAGCGGCGGCCACGGGCAGGAGGGAACTTCTGAAAGTTCCCAGGATTTGGGCCGATTCTCTTCCGGCTTTTCCTGCCCAGAGTCGTCCGTATTCAGTTCCCCGGTTCAGCTTTTCCGTCTGCATTTGGGGAGGGGGGGGGCAGGCAAAAACCACAAACGCACGACTCCGATCGTGGACGCCACAATCGCTCTGTGAGGCCCGGAAGGTTGCAGTCCTGAAGGCTCAGCTTGCCGCGGCGGGATTCAACGGAGTGAATTTGGGCTGACTTGTCCTGTCAGCGGGCGCAAGTCTCTGGGCAGTTTGTGCCGGCTCAGAAGCAAACCTATAGAGTCCGACGGGGCTTATTGAGGGAGTAAAGACTGCAAGTCTATCTATCCCCCTTGCCTGGAAGGAAGTCCCAGCAGACGGCAACGACTTTCTGATGGAGACGAAAAGGATTGTTGTATATTTCTGCAGTTCCCGAACACTTATCAAGAATAAGGTCCCTTTGCCCTCAGAGGGGCTTGCTTGAAAGTCAGTATACAAAGAATCACGTTGGGTTATGGATAGGTTCTGTCGTATTATCTTATATACATATAATTACATGGGCATTATATGCATTATCAATATTTTTTTCTTTAAAAAAGCTATAGAGAATGAATTCGTGCAAGAAGGCGCTTCTAGCCACTCGTTCCAATTTTTTTCCCCCAGGCACAGAAATATAGCCAGAGTGGGGAAGCTTCTCCTGTGGGATTTCTGCCTGTCACACATCACCTAAAGCACAGGAGGGACAGGGAAGAGAAAAACTAGCAACCCCACTCCGGAATGGACACTGCAATTTGAAGCACCCTGAAAAAAATCTGCTGCCAAGAAGCTTTTTTTCCAAACGGGGGCCCAGCTATTCTGAAACAATTTCAGGGAAATTTCGGCGCCTACTTTTAAAGGCGCTGAACTAATTAATTCTCTACTTCTGAGAAGCTCGGGGTCTCGGTGCTGTCTGAGAGACTCTTTCCCTCCGACGTTGGTCCTCCATAAAGTTTACAGGTTCTTTGAGTTTTACTGGAGCATATTAGGACCATAACATTGGCCCCAAATAAAGCTGTCCGGAGCGCCTTTGATTTAAAGACGATTCCCACGAGCGCCCCGTCGCGGGCTCCAGGCGCCTTCGTGAAACACATTTTTCCAAATTTACTTCACACACACTTGGTATTCACATCAAATAAACATTTGTGTATTATTGGTCAGATTATTTCCACCTCACCTACTACAGGGTGGAAAGTATTCTGCGCATGGTCAGAGGCACTGCTTTCTTGATTGCATGTCAGGGTGGATCTTTGGTCTTAGCATGGGCTCTGGAACAGTTAACTTCGGGTTTGTCTTAGGGGATATGACGATTCAGTGGGAAAGGAGCAAAGAAGGCTGCAGTTTAGAGTAGGAAGAAACTTCCTTCACCCCCTCAACCCAGACACGGGTTCTCTCTCTGTTCTCAAGCCATCCCAGGCCCATCAAAAGTACAAGAACAAACGGGCAGATCTGCTATGTGGAAATGAAGAATTCTGCTCTTGGAACAAATCGCTGTTGCTTTTCCGGATTCGCTTTGAAGCCCCCGTGCATAAACGGGGCAGAGCTAACTGTCCCCAAGTTATAGTCACTATTGGTATTATCACTATTGGCTATTAATCGGATCTGAATAAATAATTTCATCCATCTCGCCTCGAAAGTCAATCCTGCGGGGCTCAGTGGGGTTACTTGTGAGTATTAAAACCAGATTAAAGTTCCGAGCGCTTGTTGCAAAATGCGATTCGGGCACCCGAAGCGAAACTTTCATACAAAGAAAGCGCTTTGTCGTTCCATGCGAGCTACTCCCGGGGGTGTTTGTAAGATTTTGGGTAGGGAGGCAAAAAGGGAGAATAACGCTCGACTGAGCTAAAAGCAAAGGTTGGTAGAGGAACTTCAGTCCGCAAGCGCACTACTCAGGAGTAGGTCCCGCAGGTTTCCGGTTTAAACTCGCTTCTCAACAGTTGGGATCGGCTAGGTCACTGTTTCAGTAAGCGTGTTCTGTGTTTTAAATCAACGTTTTCTGTCTTACAAATATAACTCCTCCTTTGTTTTTTAAACCACTTTCACGCCGACGCAGAAGGTGCAGATAAGGCTTGCAATGGTGCCCGACAGCTAGCCTCCCTGGATTCAGTAGGACTTCCTTCCGAGTTGACATGCTTAGGATTGCTCTGTAAACAGATCGCGCTGGATCTTACACCGCCCGCCCCCCAACCCCGCCTGTGCGCTCAAGAAACAAAGGCTACTAAAATAAATCAAAGCATTAAAACGAACCGTTTTACAGGGCTGGGGGGGGGGGGGGCAGTCAGGATCTTTTAAGCCCGGCCTGTTTCTTTCTTCATTCTTTGCAGTGAACTTTGTACACCGCCTTGCGATTTACCCATGAAGGGCGGTATAGAAATACGTTAAGCCGGCGAAAACGGTGGATCCGTGAGGAGCGCGCTGGCTTGGGAAACGAGCGGGACGGGAGAGCTCTGCAGCCGGCCCCGTTCCCAAATACCGAGTGGGACAGAGCGCTTCCCTCACGCGCTGGAAGAGTCTCCTCCGAAGCAAATCCTGCGTGATTCGATAGGCCAGGCCAGAGGCCACGATCGCCCGAAGCCTGACTTGAGAGCGAGCGAGCAAGATGATGGCAGGACTCAAGCCCTGGAACGGAAAGTGAGCTGGATCTTCA